GATAATTAGAGAGAAAATAGAGACAGATTGTTCAGAAGAATGCTAATGGGAGAAAAGCCAGGAGGGGCCATGGGAAGGAGGAGGGGCTGCCCCCTCGAGAAGCCTGGGAGAAGCAGGTATGCAGTGACACGGGGGTTGTGAAACCAGATGCGTCATCCCCTGGCCCCTTGTGCCCCGAGGAAGGACGAGGACAGCAGGTAAGGTATTTCCCAGTTTCTTTCCCAGCAGCTGGCACCTAAGTTGCTTCTTATTAAAATAATCATTTTTCTAAAGAACACCCTTTCTTGACTCAAGTTACTCAAGTGGGAGCCTTCAGTTTTAGAAGAAACGTGGACTAAAAATGCTGAGAGTTTAAGTAAAGCCTTCTTACCGTGTTTCTAACTGTGCTTCCCCATATGGCCTGGCTCATTTTTAGACCCGATGCATATGTCTCAAACATTCCTTTTCCCGATTACACATTCACGCCTGTCCCCAGGGGCCAGTGTGGGTGCGGCGGACATTGTTCAGGGCGGGTGCTATGGAGCTGACTGCAGAGCCCCTCAGGCTGCTGGCCAAGCAGGCCCCTTCTCTCATGCACCCCCGGCCCTGTGCCCACCACTGCTCTAGGTACGGGAGGGCAGGTGGGCATCTGGAGGGCCCCAGCTGACCTGAGCTGGCCAGGGTCTGATTATAGAGCATCAGCGGTTTTGGGCAGGCTGGATGTTCCTTTGTTCCTCACTGAGCATTTGTTCACGTCATCTTTGTCTCCAAGTCGTTCCCTGATCTCTCCAGGCTGCTGTCGCTTTCTCTCAACTCTCAGCTTCCTTTCTCTGCTTCTGAACTCATGGATTCTGTGAGTGTGCAGATTGTCCCAGTAGTTCTTACAGCTGGGAAGCCTCTGGAGGTCAGGTCTTGGGGAATGTTCAGGCTGGGGCTATGCCTACATTTCCTCCTGGAAGCCAGCTGCCCTGGGGTGGCTGTTCGCAGGGAACCTTCATCGATTTTGTATTTTTGATTTTTCAGGAGCAAAACAGTTGAGTGTCTGACTTGGGAAATTTACAAGTGGGCATTTATAGTGGAGCATGAATTGGTGGTGAAGTGGTCGGGGTGTCCTTCTACACTGATGTGAGGTAATGGTCCTGTCATGTTAGCCCATGTGCTCAGCCAAACTCTAGTGACAAGGGTTGGCTGTAGGAGCCAGGTGGACCACTTACAGTTCCTCTGTGGTTGTTTCTTATAGCCTAGTGTGTACAGTTGAGTTTGAAAAGTGAGGTTCATTTGACAGCTTGGTGTCTCTGTACAGAGTCCTGGTAAGACCCTGGAGATGACCTGGCCCAGAGATCTTCTGTGACAATCAGGCAGGTTGACATACTTGTCCAGGGTAACAAAGTGCTTTGTGGCATAGCTGGGAGCAGCCCCAGGCCACGGTGGGTGGTGGGAATTGGGGCCTGGAGCCCAGCCCCTTAGTACCCCTCTTGGAGCCTGCATGTGCCTTGTTACCAGCGTGTGCCTAATCCAGAGTGGCATGTGGTCCTAGAGCCTTGGGAGATGGGGCGTCTCTTTCACTCCCTCCCTGAAGGCCCACTTTGCATTGAGGAGCATCTTTTCCTGGGACACTTCAGAGGGGCCCTTGTGTCTCAGCTGCTCCCAACCCAGCAAGCAGGACTGGTCAGCTGTGCACCCCCCACCCACCCAGCCCTGCAGGAGCATTTTAGGGAAAAAATAGACACATGCACGTCTCTGGAGAAAGCACCATCTGTTGTTTTCTCCACTGGACCTTTGTCCTCACCCAGAAAGGAAAACAACGTATGGACTGATAATAGCGGTAAACACCATGACCACAGTTGTAGAGCTGCTGCTGTGCGTTGGACACTGCACACGTCTTTTCCTCAGGCTTCGGACCCTCACGATTGCCTCACCCACCCCCGCAGGGCCACTGACATCCTCGTGTTACAGATGCAGAAACCCAGTAGAGAGAGTGCAGAACCGCCAGGCCACAAACCAATGGGGCAGGACCCAAGCTTGGAGCCTGGTCAGAACTGGGGTTCAGTTGTCCACCAGCCATTCACCCCACAAATGTGTTGACCCTGTGTGCACTCTGTTGTTCGTTATTGTATTTCATTTTACTGAGCAGGTGTGGGCTCAAAAAATTGCTCTTGTGAGCTTCTGCCAGTGACAGATGCTACGTGATGCTTCAGAAGGTCATAGTGAATGCTTGCCACCTCCCAACCACCGCCCCACTCCCCCAGGCACATCACATTCAGAGATGCTTGTGCTGATGGATCGGGTATATGTGTTGAGAGGTACTAAATATGTATTTTTAATTACAATTTATAATGAAAACCTTTCAAAAATTCTTTTCCCTGGCATCTGTGCTACCATTTGACTTTCACATTTGGTAGAAAATCCTATGCTTCTGAACCAGTTTTTTTTTTTCAGGCTTACACATTCAGTTATGTTATTTGCCTGCCTGTTCATGGGGGAACGGGCTCTCTTAGGAGCAGGAATGGAAGTTCTACTTCTGGACTCGTGGACCCATGTGATGGTGTGCTTTGCCCTGACACAGCTCCCTCTGCGCCAGGTCCTGGCAAGTCTGCCGACTGGAAAGGGGACCTTCTGGGCACACGGATGGTGACTCGCTCCTTTGTCCCATCATCCCGACCCAGGCCGTGTGGGTTTGCCACAGGGATGGGAGGTCCCATCCATCTGACAGCCATCCATTTCTCCTTCCTCCCTCTGGTCCTGGACATCCCGTCCCTGAACTTGGGGCTCCGTATGGCACATAATAGCACGTTTCATTGCAGGGTAAGGGATAAGCCTAAGGTGCACATGCCTAGGAATAAAAAAAGTAAAACCTCCTGGGTTTACTGCAGCTTGGGAGAGTAGGGGCACAGAGGGGTGGGTCAGGAAATGGTGCTGTCAGGTTCCAGGGACATAGCCTGGCTAGAGTAGGGCCTCCCACCCTGGCCGTGGAGTTGCTGGCTTAGAGACACGTGGTGCCTGGACAGGGAGGATCTTGAGGCATGTGGAGGGGTCAGCAGCACGAACTTGGAGGTGGGGGGCAGGGGTGGGTATCAGGCTGCTCCTAACTAACCTGAGCTCTGAAAGCCCAGGTGTGTATCCCTGAAGAGATCAGTCTGCAAGGACTGGATGGGGCAGACGAACTTGTGATGGTGAGATAGAAGATGGAGCTTGTTAACCAGGCAAACATGAGTTGAATGCCTGCCCTGAGCCAGGCCCCAGGCCTTGGGAAGATGAGTGCAGCAAGGGGAGAGGGCGCTGCGCAGGTGGGTGTGTGCTCCGCAGGCCTGGGGGCCCTAGTCGCCCATGAGGAGGACCTCACAGTGATGCTGGTGTTGCTGATGGGTCTGGTGCTGAGCACATCCAGGGATCAGTCCCTGTTTTCCTCTGGAGGGAAGGCATCTAGTGAGGGTGACAGTGGTGCTGAGCTGAGTACGTGTCTGGGGCAGAGAATGCCAGCCTGGGCGGGTCTACTCTGGGAGCCAGCACCCAGCTCCCCGTGGTCCAGGCCATCATGACACCTCCTTTTATTCCTCTGATCTCCCCACCCGACAGGGGAGTAGGAACAAAGGGAATTCTCAGGACCAAGCTGTCTGTGTGCTGTTTAGTCCCTCAGTCATGTCTGACTCTGTGCAACTCCATGGCCTGTAGCGTGCCAGGCTCCTCTGTCTATGGGATTTCCCAGGGAAGAATACTGGGTGGGTTGCCATTTCTTCTTCCAGGGGATCTTCCTGACCCAGGGATCTAACCCTGAGTCTCCTGCATCGGCAGGTGGGTTCTTTACCACTGAGCCACCAGGGAAGCCCAAACTGTCTTTACTGCAGGGAATTAAGGGAGAGAGAAGTACAAGCTATCCATAGAAGTGCATTGGTGTCCTTTTGGGAAAAAAGCAAAAGATCTGCCAGTGGCCACAGTTTCCCTACTGTGAAAGCTCCCATGCTGGTGTAGCTCGGAGGCATGGTGGGCAAGTGGCCACCTCTCAGGAAAGCCCAAGAAGCACAGCCAACCCCACAGTCCAGGGGTTGTCCCCACCTCGGGCATCGTGCCTTCCTCCCTAGGCTCGCTTCTGCAAGGTTGCGGAATTCTGTGCATTTTAAGCAGGTTAAATAATTTTTACCCTAGGGCTTTTCAAGCTGTATTCCTCATGCACAGGAAGTAATGTTTCAGGTGACAGCGTGGCCCTGACTCATATGTAACCAAAGCAGCAGTTCTATGTTTGATGCACTCTGATATCTTCTGCTTTGTTTCCTTTTAAAAAGAAGACTGTGCGCACATACAGGCTGCTCAGACCCGCTTAAACTGATTTTCTGATCCACTTGTGGGTTTGCCACCAGAATATGAAAAATTCTGCCTTAAATTTGCTGCATGCGCTGTTTTTTTCTTAATCACTCATCACTACTTGTGCGAAATCTGTGCAGTTTTGAAAGAAAAGAAGGGAAGGAAGGAGAAGGGTATGGGTTTCTCCCCAGTGTTGCTGCTCTGTTGCCACCCTGGAAGGGTGCTGAGTGTCCCCAGAGTGGAGGACAGGTGGTTGCCGGCAGAGCAGGACAGGCTTGAGGAGAGCTAGGGAGGGTCTTCAAGGTCATTTGGTCCAATTTCCCACCCACAACACAGAAGATACCTCTGTCCTGATGCAGAAGATATTTCTGTATGGATGCCTTTTTGTTTGTTTTGTTTTCCTCCTAGTGGCATATGACTGCTCTCATCATTTTCAGACTTTACACTGTTTTATTCTCTTGGTTTGCTGGTGCTCTGGCTTTTTTTTTTTTTTTTTTGTCTTTTTTGAGGAAAGCAGAGATCAGATATGGTAATTCCCAGCTTTCAGGCATTTCACCACTGTTATCTCTGTTGGTGACTGGTTGGTCACCAGCCAGGGGGCCTAGTCCGTTCTGTATCCGTGTGCAGGCACTGCGCCTTGGCTGGGACCCTGCGTGGAGCCCTTGCAGGGTCCCACTCCGCTGAACCTGGTCCCTGCGCTGAGCTTTGCTGTTTCTCCACAGGCCTCGGAAGGACCCGCCGGAAGACGAGCGCACGCGATGCATCCCCCACGCCCAGCACGGACGCGGAGTTCCCCGCCAATGGGGGTGGCGCCGACCGCATCTACGACCTCAGCATCCCCGCCGTGGTCAAGTTCGCATATGCAGCAGAGCGCGAGGACGAGCTGTCGCTGGTGAAGGGCTCGCGCGTCACCGTCATGGAGAAGTGCAGCGACGGCTGGTGGCGGGGCAGCTACAACGGCCAGGTGGGCTGGTTCCCGTCCAACTACGTGCTGGAGGAGCTGGACGAGGCAGCCGGCGACGCACCCGGGGGCTCGAGCCTGCGGCCCGGCGCCATGCTCAGCAATGGGCAGGGCGCGCGGGCGCTGCAGGTGGTGCAGACACTGTACCCTTTCAGCTCGGTCACCGAGGAGGAGCTCAACTTCGACAAGGGCGAGACCATGGAGGTGATCGAGAAGCCCGAGAACGACCCCGAGTGGTGGCGCTGCCGCAACGCGCGTGGCCAGGTTGGCCTGGTACCCAAGAACTACGTGGTGGTGCTCAGCGAGGGCCCGGCCCCGCATGCTGGCTCCGGACCCGCGGGGCCTGCTCGTGCTGGCCGGTTCGCAGGCCGCGAGTGGTACTACGGGAACGTGACTCGCCACCAGGCCGAGTGCGCACTCAATGCGCGGGGCGTTCAGGGCGACTTCCTTGTGCGGGACAGCGAGTCCTCGGTGAGTGCCAGATGAGGTGGGTGGGCAGAGGGGTGTGCGTGTGTTTGTGTCTGGGTGTGCACATATGTGGGCATCTCTGCGTGTGCACTAGGCATACAGGGCGACTTCTTCCTAAGAGCGAGTCTTCAGTAAGTACAGGGTTGGGTGGGTGGAGGGGTGTGCATGTGTGCACATGTATGTGTGCATCTCTGTATGTGTGTACCAGGTGTGCAGGGTGACTTTCTCATCAAGACAGTCACTGGTGAGTGTGGGGCAGGGTGGGTGAAGGGGTGTGTACACGTGTTTGGGTGTGCACGCGTGTGCATCTTGCTGTGTGTGCATGTGTGTACCCAGCATGCAGGGCAACTTCTTCGTCAAGACAGAGAGTGCTCAGTGAGTGTGGGGCAGGGTGGGTGGAGAGGTGTGCGTGTGTGTGCACATGCATGAGCACATCTGGGTGTGCATGGATACGCACATCTAGGTGTGTACACATGTGTGGGTATGCGCTGGCCATGCAGGACGGCTTCCTCCTCAGGACAGAGAACCCTCAGTGGGTGGGTGGTACACAGAAAGGAAGCTGAGAGCATGAAAGTGTGTGGAGGTGTGTGAATGGCCTCAGACAGCAGGGGTATGTGGGGCTCATGTTAAGCAAGATGAACACATATGCTCTATACAACCTGTGTCCTGAGGCCCCAGCCCCACCTTATGCTGACATCCACTTGGACTGCCCAGCCTCTGCTGTACCTCTGGTTGGCAAGGTGCGTTCTTGTAGGTGAGATGGCAAGTACAGAGTGTCTCAGCTTTTGGAGATTTTGGTGCCTCTTGAGTGAGGTCACCCCTGTTCTGTCCTGCAGACCCAAACATCATTTTCTCCCCTGGTTTCCCTGTGGTGATGACCCAACCTTGTTTCCTCTCTGGGTCTGAGATGCATCAGATGTTCTCAGCAAGGCAGACACCCTGTTTCTGACACAATCTTTTGTTGGTTGGTGTGTTTTTCTTTTTAAAGTGTGTAATCCTCAGTATGTCTCTGCCACAGGCACCACTGAGTTTATCTCTGAAAAGCTTTTAAAGCACTCAGGAACAGAACTGAAAAGGAAAAGGACGACTGTTAAGAGAGGGGTTTCTGTGTACAAGTTGAGTCAGCGGTGTGCGGCCTCTCAACTTGGAGCATACCTGTTTGCAGCACAGATTTGGGGTCTGTGTTTCAGATGTGTGGCCAAGTCTGTCTGGGAGAACTGGGCTGTCATTCCAGGTTCCTTTTTGTGTTTTCATTGTGGAGGAACTAAACTGGTTTTGTCAGTCCTTGCAAGTACACCTGCCAGAGTGAAGCAAAAGTTTTAAGGATGGAGTCCAGTGTGAGTTTTGAGGATGGAGTCCAGTGTGATCATTTTCTGTTGGTTCCTGTAGACTTTAGTTTAATTGTCTAAATGCAACCTGTAAGACTAGTCAGCCCATGCTATGTATTGTAATTGTCCCCTGAAAAGGTTGATACTACGATTACTAAGTACACAGTCAAGATTCCTATTGACTGACTGAGAGGGAGTTCAAGCCCACAGAAGTGGTTTCCCTTCAGACAGAGAGGGGCAGCTGTGATTCGGGTGGAAACCGGCCACCCAGGGGTGGCAGCAGCTCATGGTGGCGAGCACACGGGACCTAGACAGTAGCTGCATCTGAAATCTGGGCAACGAGCTTTTCTCATCCTGAGTCAATGGTTTCTAGCAGGACATCACATTAAGTTGTTCTCAGATGAGGTCCGGTCCGGGCTCAAGATCAAGAGGCTTCAGAGAATTGGGTCCAGAGTGCTTGCAACCCGCCTGAGCAGAAACTCAAAGAAAGCACCAGAAACCCTGTCACAGTAGGAGGTGATCAAGGGACAAGGATGATTTCTTGTCCTGATTTAGGAATGTTGGATTTGAAGAGGCTTCTTAGAAAGGAGAGGGGTAAAAGCAGCCCCCACCCAGAGTGGAGACAGTACCCCCAGGTTCTTCACTATGGGGTCAGGAAAGGGGAAAGTCTTTAGCAGGAGGCAGAGAGTATCACTGTCTTAGAGAAAACCTGTGACTTGTCCATCAGACAAGTAGGCCATGGTCCCTGTCAGACCTTGGGACCAGGTCCTTTTAGAGGTAGAGGAGGGTACTTTTCTTATCTGCACTCCACCCCTAGGAACTTGAAGAAGCAGCAGTGTTACGTTTGTCTCAGGTTATGAGAGGAGAAAGCCTTTTCTAAATAACTAAAGTATTGCTTGTTTATTTTAACCATTTTTTTGGCGGGGGGAGCCTTTCCACATTTTGTTCCCTCTGTTTTAATTTAGAAAACTGAGCTACGACAGCTCCTCGTGTGCTGGGCCACTGGCTCTCAGGGTGGGGAAGAGGCTCTCTGGGACTTGCTTAGCTCTGCCCCTGCCATGGCCCCACCTTGGCCTGAAGGCTGCCATGTGGCCCAAGGGTGTGCTGGGCTGCTTGTCTGGCTGGAACTCGCTGTTACACGTGGCGTTGTCTGCCGTGTGTGCGCCTGTCTTGTGCCAAAGAGATGCTCAGGGACTCTTAGGCGTGCTGCTGCTCTTCTCCTGATGGCAGGGCGAGCCGGCTGCGCTGTCTTCATTCTCGTAACCAGGTCTTTGCCCACCTGTCATCTGCAACTGTGAGGAGCCGTTCAGATGGACAAGTCCATCGCTTATCCGTTTCCTGCCTCCACTTCCTGCCAGCACCTTCCCATCTTCTTTCTGCCTATCTGTTGTCTTTTTCCTGTTCACTCTGGCGTCTCTAACGTGAGAGCCTACTGTTCAAAGCTGCATGAGCCCGGGAGCGCCACAGCCTGTCCTGACTCAGGGTCCCGTTTCTGCATCGCCATTCAGTTTCCTTTTCCTTCCTCTAGGTCTCTGTGCTCAGGGCTCACCTTTGGTCACTGCAGGACCTGTGATTCCTCAGTAAGCATAGCCTCTTTTTTAGAGGGCCTCTTCAAGATGCGTTTCATTTTTTTAAATATCCCGAGCGATTTCAGTGTAAATGAGCTTGATACTTTGCATTTAAAAATATTCCATATTTTTCTGTACTGAAAAGTAAAAAGATCTGAGTTTTGGGAAATCCATGCTTGGGCGAGGGGGGAGGGTGGACATATTTCAGAACAACAAGCAAAGCATTGGCATATATTATGATATCCGGGGTCAGTGGTGTGTGGGTATTTCAGAGGCGTGTGTTAGACATGGTTTATCAGCCAGTGAATAAACCAGGTGACCCTGCTTTGGCCCTTTTCTATCTTGCATCTCAATATCGAGTTTTCTCTCTCCCCTTCTCTTGCTCTCATCCCTTGCCTCTAATTGCCATTTACCTTTAGCAGCTAAAGATGAAACTGTGTCAGTTCTTCATATTTAATCATTATATTCCATCCATATCATTAAATCTAGAAAATTCAGAATTCCTACCTGCCTTCTCTAATGCTCATTGTAAATCCTTATGTATTTGTTCAGACTTATTCTGTGGATACAGCTAGGAAACTATATTACAGTGAAGAATAACCAGTAACTAAATTTCTGTGTACTCTGTAAGCTGTCAGTATTTTATTTTTTCAATTGCTGTAGAAAGTGACAGCTTACAACTGGGTTGAGGTCTGCAAAGCATCAGCCTGTGGTGTAGGAAGCCATTTTTCTCTGTAAGATGTTAAAGATCCCAAAGAGATCATCTATTTCCCCATATTTTGTGTCCCTATGTTTTTGTGTCATTTATTACGAAGGGCTTTAGATGGAGTTTTATCTCTGTTGTATTATGTGTAAAAGAAGGTGAAGAGTGCTGAATCCCCTCTTTTGGAGGGAGATGCTGTAGAAAGTGGAATAGAGGGCTGCTTGTTACCTGAAACCTGACCTATGGCAAGAGCAGGAGGTGGTGCAGGCAGCTGGGCTGTGTCACTGGGTGCTCTGGGGGAATCCCAGTCACGTGGCCGAGGGTGGCCCAGTGGCTCCTCCTGGTCCACGATGGGAGGAGACCTCCCATTGCCCTCTCCTGCATGCTGCCCAACCGATGCTCTCTCCTCCTGTGGACCTTCGCACACATCTGGAAAACTGTAGAGTACAGCTGCCTCCATCCCCCCAACACCCTCCCTCCCTGCCCAGTCTAGGCACACATGCCGTTCACACCTCCTTTCCATCTGGGAAGCCTCCGTGAGCCGAGCTCCTGGGTCCCACGACGGGGCCTGTGCTCACAGGTGTAACCGCCTTCATACGTGGCTGTGCTGCCCCCACGGCAGCCCGGTCGGCACTGGAGTGCATGGTGTGTCATCCAGTCGGCTGTTGAATCCCAGCACTGCGTGAGACCCTAGAAAATATTCTCCACATTCACTGATGATGCAATTGTCCAGCATGTGTCTGTCGATTCAGAGTGGGAGCCAGCAGCAGCCAGAGGAAGTGCCAGCATGCCCAGCCCTTCCTCTGCACCCCCTGACCCCTGGGCTTGTGAAGTCAGGTCAGACTTGGTGGCCTCTGGCTCGGGATTGCTGCCACCAGGGGTCCAGACAACCTCCCTTCAGGCTGCAAGTGTAACATGGAGAGAGATGAGTGTCCAGTAAATCAGTGGGAACTGAAAAACAGCTCTTTCAAACTAGAGTGCAAGTGTGAGTGTATGCATGCTCAGTAGCTCAGTCCTGTTCAACTCTTTGCAACCCCATGGACTGTAGCCCACCAGGCTTCTCTGGTGAAATTTCCCAGGCAAGAATGCTGGAGTGGGTTGCTATTTCCTACTTCAGGGGATCTTCCCGACCCAGGGATCAAACCTGCATCTCATCTCCTGCATTGGCAGGCTGATTCTTTACCACTGAGCCACCTGAAAACTCTGTCAAATAATTCATCTGTAACAGTATTCAGAATCATTTTCATAAAAACCCCCAGATCATTAGCTCCTTTGATGTAAATGTTTATTGATATATTTGCTGTTGTTGTTCAGTCACTCAGTTGTGTCTGACCCTTTTCGACCTCATGGACTGCAGCATGCCAGGCTTCCCTATCCTTCACCATCTCCTGGAGCATGCTCAAA